GGCGACGTGAACTGCCCCTGGCGCTGCTCCTCCGCGTCCGGCTGCCCAGCCTCCCAGGCGCCCGTCTTGGGCGAGCCCCGCGCGGTGACTGGCGGTGGCTCGTTGCCTGACTCAAGACTTTGTCAGGTCAGCGACATCACTAGGGGTTGATCAAAAGGCCCGAAATACATGGGATGACCATTGCTTGGAAAACCACTGAACAGATTTGCTATTCAACCACATGGGAAAAGTTACCCATGACCGGGCCCGGAATGCTGATCAACCCCCACATCACTCTCTGTCAAGCTCCTTCAACCATCTCAGCTCTCCGAGCGGCTGTTCTCGATGTAGGGCGATCGAAACTGCTCCAGGCGTTGTTCCCGGGCTGCCTGACGCTCAGTCCCCAACCAACCTCGCCTCGCCTTCTTGGCAGCGTCTTCACTCGCCTCGCCTTCTTGGCACGCCGCTGTTCTCGCAGCAAAGGACCGGAAGGTCCACCTGGCATGTGATCTGTGCCATCCGCCTGTGGGATGCGAATGACTGACTGACATCTGCATAGAATCTGACAGCTTTCTTGAGCTCCTGCAGTCAGCCAGGGCAGTGTTCTGAACCGCCTAGTTTTGGCCTGGAACCACAAATAAAGAAACATGCGAATGGGCTATCATCAGCGACCAGTCGGAAGCTTTGCTCTATACCTGGGTTTGTCACTCCAGTAACACCTGGGACGCACTCTGAAAGCCATACGCAGTGAGACGAGCCTCTGCTTCTCCGGACTTGCCGGAAGACCTGCAGCTGCCTCACCACTGCGCAGCTCAGGAGGCCTGGACGCTCACTCTTGTGTTGTCTCTCGCTCATCGGCTCAATCTGCATAAGTCCTTGTCTGGTTTGCAGACGCCCTCTCTCTCTCACACATGCAATCCACAGGTGCTTTCCCAACCACCACCAAATCCATCCGTCGCCCACATCGCCCACATCGCCCACCCTCTCACATCCGCCTCCAAAAACTGGACGCAGTCCGATCGTCCTGCAGCATCACAACATATGGCACGGCGTTGCGCGGAGTGCTGCATCGCATTGCACTTTGCATGCATTCGACTACAGTACATGATGTTTCATAGTGCATATACAAAGCATCACATTGCAATGTGTCATTGCTGTGCATTAAACAACGCATGGTGTCATTGCGATGCATATTGCATCACATTGCATTGTAGTGTTACATTGCTTTGTGTTACGTCAGATTGTAGGGTTTGCGCATGGTTGCAGCGCATTTTGTTTTAAGGTTGACTACGTAATGTTGTGTTGCATTACATGGATTACTTTGCACTACTGAGCATTCTATTATGTACATATATATATGTATATGTACATCACATGGCACATTGTGTATGTAACATTGCACTGCACTGCACTCTCGTGCTAGCCATGCGCCCTCCTATGCCTAGAATGCCCCGGAAATTTACAACTTGATTCAGCTCAGTCCTTCTGCCACCTGGCCGAACAGCCACCGGGCTGTGCAAAGGTGCACTGCTTCCTGGTGCAAGCTGCGGCGCCAGCATCATGGCCTGGCAGGGTGGCAGGCTGACTTTGGGCATGTGACAACACAAACTGCACTAGGCGGACTTGATTGCAAGTGATGCATGGCTGCCATGACACACACAAACGTGAATCTGGCTAATTGGCACCTATCAGCTTTTGCTTTGCAATGCTTCAAGCAAAACACTATGGCTCGCTGCTGCCCCGGTCAATTTTACGCCTCAAGCATTGTGCAGCATTTCCCCCCAACCAGCCCGCGCCTCAACAGCTTCTACAGTGAATGAGAAAACTGTGCGTTTTTGAGCTTTGTGGTCTCATGGGATTGCTCCTAGCCTGATGGAATTGTTTACAAACACGTTGGCCTTGGCGCAAATCCTCTCCGGCTGCCCCCATTGTATCGTGTGTAAACAAAATGCTTCCGACAACCTCTTGCTTCCTGAGCCCAAAGGATTGCGAGTGCAATTCCTGCATCACCTGCCAAGTGTCCGTAGCGGCTCCAACCCCGGCACTTTTCGTTGCAAGAGCCAACGCCCAGCAGCTAGCGGAGAGGCCCATGTGCTCCAGCTCGCGTGTCCTGATCGCGAAACGGGGAGTCCCATGGCAGCGAGAAAACGGGCTGATCAATACTCCCCTCGGCCCCAAAATGAGCATGGCTATATTCTCCAATCCAGCGAGAAGTTTCATCTTTTAAGTGCGTTCCCCAATGGACATCCCGTGTAGAGGACCTTTTGATCAACCCCCAGTTGGCCAAAAAAAGCCGAGTCCTGGGCAGCATGCTTACAGAGAGGCTTCGAAGGATACTCGAGTCCCAACCGATCACGGCAAATGCCCAAAGAAGGTTGCCTCAGCTGCAAATAGTCCGAATGTCGACCATCACCGTGTTTCTGCCAAAACACTTTCTTTGAAATCTGCATAATTACCGTTGGTTTTCTGGGGGCATTGCACGCACTGCCTATGCGCGCGTGCGGAAGATTCGCCGAGTTGCAAAGATGCTGTGGCTCCAGCTCAGGCAGCTTTCTGTCGGATGCAGCTCTTGCAATAGCATGCCATCACACTTGCAATGGTTGAGGGGAGATAAATTGAATCTGCATCGGCCATGTTCATGTTGTAAGCAAACGGCTCCGCTGAATGTTATCTGTGATTGCCTTTGCCTGAACAGTGTGATCCCCGGGACGATGCTCATGTCCCATCTTTGTCTTCCAGCATCTTGTGAGTAGAACACATGTTTTCCCAATTTGGCCGGTCAATTCAAGCACGATTTGCCTCAAACAAAATCTGCGCCCGGTTCCTCTGAGCCTCACTGGCAAGCGCCGCCAGCAGCGGTTCAGGTGTGCTGAGAAGCGATGCCAAGGCCTCGTTGCCAACATGAGAATGCTGAGGGCAACATCCGCAAATCGACATGTTATGTGCACACGAAAATTTGTACCATTTGTTCATATAGAATACATACACAGACAGTACACGTAAATACATGTACACATCCTATCTCAAACATCTGCAGCTTCTAAGAGAAGCCGGAACGCTGAGAACGGCGTGCTATTTTCAAATCCAAGGCACCCAGGCCACGTTGGCCAGGTCCTGCGGCGCGAACTCCCCAACGCAGCGCTGCGCTTCTGCCAGGAGACGATTTTGGCCATCGCCTCCGGCCAAGATCGCTCCCCGTCTTTTGGTATTCTCTCTCTCTTCCTTCTTCTCTCTCCTCCTTCTTCTCTCTCACTGTTCTCTCTTCTTCTTTACCAGTTTCCTCCTCTTTGCTGCCCTGCTTTCCCTTGTTGGTTACTTCCTTAACGGAGAACAAGCTACGTTGCTTGCCCAGCACGAGTACAGCCGCGTGCCTGCGAAGTGCCAGAAGGCAAAGGCCCAAAGACACAAAGCCAAGTCCTGCATGGCTCGCTTGCATCGCATGCGTCACATGCGTCGCTTGCGCGCTGCGCCTGCGGCTGCAAGCCGCTGCAACGAGAGAGTCGCTGCATTGCCGCCGGCACGAAGAGCTGCAGCTTTGCCAAGGACCAGGAGACCTGAAGCCCAGGCTCCGGGTTTCGGCTCTCTGGGGCGCTACACTTGGACAGGGGCTCATCTTGCGATCGGTGCGGTAAGTAGGGAATGAGAAATGGAATGAACCGTTTTGGGATTCCCGAATACAGGAAATCACCAGTTGGAAGGCTTACAGGGGGCATTTCCTCATTCCCTGCTGAGCACCAGCAAGTCCTTCGCATCTGTGGCTCATGCAAGTCCACCCTGCCTGCACCACCGTGGCCGGCGCCGAAACCTCCACCTCCGCCACAGCACTGGCCAAGCCTTGCGCGGCGGAGAAGCGATGCTCGGCCTGCGCAGCCAGGATGCTCCGGCCAATCATCCGAAAGTCACACAGTACCAGGCTGATGCTGGACGAAAACTCTGAACATCACGGATCTGTTGTGAGAAATCAGCGTTGTGAGAAATCAGCGCCTGTCCCAATGTGGCAGCTGCCCAGGCACAGCGGGACAAATCCAACGCTTCCAGCTCGCAGGCATGCTGCTCCGCCAAACTCCTTCAGAAGGAACGGCATTCGGAGCGCGCAACTGGGGCCATCCCCTTCGGGGTCAAAATGAGATTGGGGGGGCGCCTTTCCGCCTTTTTTTGCATTCTCCCTTCTCGGCGTCTGACCCCTCTTGCTTTGCTCCGAGCTGCAGGAGCTCGCAGCCCCCGGGCTGCCGCAGCGTAGCTTGACACCAAAGCAGCTGCGCTGCTCTGGCGGCGCTTGGCCCCGTGCCTCCGGCATGCCACGCTGCCCCGTGGAGGTGGGGACTTCAATATGTCTCCAGCTGGTAGGCAGGCCGAGAAATTTCGCAGAGCAAGGCTCAGTCGGCCATGCATCAGCAGAAGCGCGCGAGTTGCGAAAACCACTTTCCTCTTCTACACATCATCATGCGCTTGAGTCATCCACCACCCTTACCAGAAACTTACTCCTTCGCTCGATTGCCCATAGGCTCGGCCTGCGACCTCCAGCAGCAAGGGTGCGGCATTGGCGCCACAGACCGCCAAAGCCCAAAGCAGGTCCGGCAGCTTGGCATGGAGCTCTGGAAGGCCTCTGGAAGCCGATGGTCTCTCCAAACCCCCGGCCATTTAAGGCTTCAAATAGGAACCCTCTCGCTTGGAATGCTCTCACTCCTTCATAGGAACACCTCTGCCTGGAATCCTTTCACCACCTACCAGCCTCAAGCAACATGGTGGTTGGCTCTTCGGCTGTTTGCCGAGGCGCGGTGGTGCACTGCTTCTGCCAGACCAGGCGGAGCGGCCGCAGCCACGTTGGCTTGTGCCCAGCACAGGTTCGGCAGGTCTCGGACGTTCAGCTGCCGCGTCAGCGCCTTGAAAGGCACTATCACTTCTTCAGTGAGCCAAAGGCGACTTCCATCTGAGCTTGCGCAGGCTCCAATTCGTGGCAAGGGTTGAAGCAGGAGCTGGGCACCTTGCAAAGCATGATAAAGATAGGACTACTCTTAGTGTTGACTTCTTGAGGTAACATACTGTTTTCAGCTTGCATTGAATGACCTCCGCTAGCCAAGTCACAGATTAGCGCACGTGAGTCGCAATCCAAACCTGGTGCTGGTGGGTTCCTTTATTCGGGAATCCCTGGGTTCATTCCCACATTCCCCACTTATGGCACCCCAACCCCATCTCCGCACACATTTGTTTCAGTCAGTCCATGGGCCTGCCTCTGCCACGAGCACCGCCACAGCATCTCCCGAGTCAGGCAAAATGGTCGCTGCTGCCTGCCCGAGGTCTCCAAGCGCTTGAGAGCCGGCCCGGACAGGTCCAACGTCAAGTTCACATCTCAAATCTTCGAATAGACTTAGGCGGCCCCCTGGTGCCGCAAACAACTTGGATCTCTCCAGTGACACGCCCATTCAAAGCTCAGTGCAACTCAAGATTTCATGCGTGTGCGCATACGTGTGCGTCGGTCCAAACAACCCTGGCAGGTGTCCGACACAACTTCCAATTTTGCCCCAGTCGCCCAGGCTGCATTCGTCAGCTGCCTGGGCTTCAACTCACACAGCTGTCTCAAAAAGGGGGCACCCGGCACAATCTGCGACATTACACAATTGCTCAAACAAGGCGATCCTCTGTTTGTTTCAAAACACTTGAATTGATGATGTGCTTGAATCTGAGTTGCAGAAGCGCTCAGTGGCCAGCCTTGACTAGAGCAGGTCAAATGGAGCTTGCCAAACACTCAGGGAGCCTCTTCGCCCTTTTTTGGTCGGGCCAATGAAAATAGCATTTTTAGTGCCCAAAATGGGCTTTGTGCAACTTCCCAACTTGCCCACGCCTGCCCGAAAGCTGCGCCCGCGCTGCTGCTGCAGCGGGCGCCAGCAGACCGGCAAGGCGCCCGAAGCGAACAGCAAAGGCACTGGCCTCACTGGGAAAGTCTGCAATTCCGGTTCGGCCAAAGGCCGGGGGAATACGCAAGAGGTTTCAACATAGACACCTTGAGGCTGATGCAACACAGTTTGTCCTTTGGCGCTTGTAAGGATTCTGAATTCTGGTGAGGAGAGCCTCTTTTCAACCTGCAGCTACGGCAACTAAGTCAGCAAATCACCCAGGGCATGTTCTCCAAGGGTCTAATACAAGTTCCACATGGATGGCTCTTCGAGCTGCCCACGTGAGCAAACACTTCTTGGACACCAGCCGGCACTTTGACTAGTGGACGAGAAGTGCCCGCTGGGCAGGCTGCGCAAGCTCATGTTGAACACGTGCATGTTGGAATTGAGCACCTCGTTGCACACTGGCACTGGCGTGCTTGGCAATCAAGCTGCGGCTTTCTCGCCGTCGCCGCCTTGCTCTTCGGTACATGAACACACGATTCAATGAGCGCACTTTGCCCTCAATATCGCCGTACTTGCCCCAGAGGATATACTTGAACAAGTCAAAGTCCGGATACCAGAAAGAATTCCTGATGCGCGGCCATAAAACCACTCCTACATCCTCTTCAAGTCTGCTCTCGATTGGGATGTAGAAAAGGAAAGCAATAAGCATTCGTAGTATGCATGTGACTACCATTGTTTCCCTTCAACTTTGGTCAAAAGGCTACGAACGGCTTGCCATCTTTACCTCATGCATGTTAGTCTTCGTCTCCGAGCGGGATCAACCAAACACATCACACCAAGCATTCGCGCAATCGCACATTGTCGGAATCGACGGAATTGGCACAAACAGAGAAGGAGTAGAAAAAGCCATGCGTCCTGGGATAGCCAGTTTGGTAGATGTCCACTGGATCGCCATGCGCCACCCTTTGTCTCAGAAGGGTCACGTTCTGTGCGAACTCTTCCAGCTGTTTGACGCCTTGTGGCTGGTGGCCAAACTCGAACAGCAGGCCTTCCTGCAGGTCACCACGACAAAACGTGTTGGGCTGCGTGAGGAGTACACTGCTTTGTGATGTTATCCTACCATATCTCTGCCAACATGCCGTTCGCGATGACACTCTCTCTCTCTCTCTCTATTTTGTGGCTCCTGCTTGGTGAGCGGCGTATCAAAGTTCTCGGCGTAGGCTTCCAGGATGCCACGGCCAAAAACGCAGACATTGGACGCCGGCCTCGGCAGCCCCCGGTACTCTGCATAGGTCGTCCCGGCAAAGGACTGAAACTTCTGGGGGAAGCCAGGGCCCACAGTACTGGTGTCCAGGACATACATGTACGCCTGTGCGCGGATGGAGGGATGGTCACGATAGTGCCAAATCATGGACAAACCAGTGAGGTCGAAATTCTCGAACTGCGTCTCCAAATAGGTCAAGCCATCATCTACATAGATTCTTTCCATGTCGGAGCCCCCAACCACCACAACTACATCTTCAAACCGTTCGAATCGTATCGCTTTCCTCAGCTGAGATTGGAGCTGACATGACACAAGCAAAAAGCCTCACAAACCTAAGGCAAATTAACACTGCCAACACTTCTTCAGTGCAACGAGCATCATTGTGTCCAAGAGTGTCTTGAGTGGCGTCTGGTACTTCATGTTGGAGTTGACGACTAGCTTGATCTGGGGCCAGTCCGTATAATCATCCTCCGCGAAAGCTCCCAAGTCGAGTTTTGCCACAAATCCATTGTGGGCTTTGTTGGCAACAGCCGGATGAGAGGTGCATCATTGGGGATCAGCCACGTTCTGCCCATACAGTAGAATCAAACAAACAACTCTTCTGGGCTCAGCCGCAACCCAGCTCTCGAGGCCACACACAGCATGCATTCCTGCTGCCTTCATGGAGTAACTTCCTGCTGCCTTTCATGGAGTAATTTCGAGCATTGCCTCTGCCCGGGGCATCATGCTGCCAAGTGGCAATAAAAAAAAAACTATTGTGTGCCCCGAGGTCATGTTTTTCGAACCTTTCATGACTAAGAAGCAGAATGGGCCCTTCGGCAAGGATTTGCTGATGTATAGACATATACATACATATATATATATATACATACATGTGTGTGTGTGGCCTCTGCTTCCCTCTGCTCCGCTTGGAAACCTCAGTGAACATCCGTGCGCGAGCAAAACAAGGCTGCCATATTGTTAAACTGAATTTGACTGTGTAAACCTGTGTGTGTGACAACGCGGCACTTGTGGTCTCTCGGGCGAAGGCTGTCTCCCTCCTGTAGGCTCAAGGCCTTGATGCACAAATGGGCAATGCAATGTGCAAAGATGAATGTATATTCACACCCACCCTTGGATTGATGTATCCCTACAGCAAGCCAAACAGTGTATGTTCTAGCTGGTCGAAGTGATGTAAAACAAGTTGTTACCAGCCAGTAGGGAGCTGATACAAGTAACAACTTTTACATCACTTCGACCAGCTAGAATCTAAGCTGTTTGGCTTGCTGTAGGGATACATCAACCCAAGGGTGGGTGTTAATACGCATTCACCTTTGTAGATGTCGAAGATGCATGTGCCGTGCGTGAGGGGCCACGCCATAAGGCTGTTCTGTTCCATTGTGCTCGGCCAGGCGGTGTTGTTGTACATCTGTACCTGTTGCAGCGTGTAGCCCCGGTTGACAGTGTTGACCCTGGAACGGGATGTGAGGTCGAGGAGCTTTGTCAAGTGACAGCGCCAAGCAAGGATGTAAAGATCTCTGGTGTTGACTGTAGCCAGCTTCCCGGAACTCATCAGAGCACTGTAGTCATAACCGCATCATGTGGGTTTGTTGTAAGCACTAGCACTGTAAAGTCAAAAGCCGAGTAGCGAAGATTTCCAATGATGCGCTTGATCTTTTCCAGCGCCGCTTCTGCTGCGTCTCCCACAAACGAGATGGACTCCTCCGTGGCGAGGGCCATGTAGAGGGCGTTGCTGTTGTTGGCCAATGTGAGGTTGTGCCAAGCTGTGGTACCATGGTCTGTGTTCCTGAGGTTGTCTGCGCGGACAAACCCGATGTCTGCAGCCGATGTTGTCATCCTGTCGTTGTACCTCTCAGGCACGCAAGCCTGGGCGGCCATCGGCAGGGGTGTAATGGGCTGCATGTCCATTGCGAGTTGCGTCAAGGCGATGTGCCTCCAGACCAAACTGATGTAAACAGCACAGAGATGTGTCAAACCAGTGTTTGAGACATGTATCTTTGGTCGCAAGTTGTGTCGCATGTACCTTGTGCCTGTAAGGCGCCTGGTCATGCGCTTGACATGTTTGTAGTCAAACTGTGTTGGTGCTTGTAGTGCCCTTGCTAGTTCCTTTGCTCCATAGCTGATGTCTGGTCGTGTGTAAGCTAGCCATTGTATCTCGCCAACAAGCCGCCTGTGTTGCCTGCGCTGTTCATGGTCTAGCGGCGCTTCATCTTCTGCTGTATCTTTCATGCGTGACGCTGGGTTGCATGTAGTCATGCCTGACTCCTCCAGGGTAATGTCAACATAGTTGTTGTTCAAGCTGACGTTGATGTAGTTGGAAATGTTTCTGCCAAGGAAATGAAGTCTTGATCCAACTGTTGAGTCGCCTGTGTGTCTCAGCAGTACTTCTTTTTGTATTCCGCTGAAGAGTGTGTTGATGATGCTCTGTGCTCCTATGAATGGGAGGTCGCCTACATAAATTATGACCTGGCAGTCTTTTGACCGGTAGACATTGCTTTCTGTCGCGCTTCTCACAAGTTCAAGTGTGAATGTGAGACTGTGTGCTATGCGGTCTTGACACTGTGTTGGCGATGATCTTAAGCAATAGACGGTGGCTTTGTTTAGCCGCCACATTATGTGTCTGTTTTCTTCATTGTGGAACTCGCGCGGTGGTCTCGTCACCAAGTTGTAGGAGATTGCTGTTGCGTGTAGGAATGCAATGGTGCACTGGCTCTGTGTAGCCTTTTGCTACTGTTCGCGCTCGTACTTCGTTGTGTTTTGCTTCTGTGTCATGTGTAATAGGCTCTCGTGGGATCCTTTCGTTGTCGATTCCTTCTGTGTCTTCATTGGGTGTTGTCTCCATTTGTTTGCCTTCTCTTGTTGTAAACGCGATGGCGTTGGTTCTCATGTTGCCCTTTGGTTGTTCTGTAGGTCGCTCCAGCGCTTGTCTTTCTGTTGCGGCGCGCTGTTGCTTGCCTGCGCTGCCTTCTGCTATTGTGTCATCTCTCTCTCTCTCTTTCTCTCTTTTGTGTGTGTGACGTGGGCGGTGGCGCTGGCAATGCCGGTCGCTTCTAATGTGTTGGTGATGTAGCCATTAGTGATGTTGGTTCTACTGTCCTGTTCTGCTTTGGTTGTTGGTCACTCGACTGTGCTGCGCTCTGTCTCTTGCCTTCTTCTGCTGCGCTTGTTGTTGTTGTTGTTGCATCCTTCTGCGATGTAGGTGCTTTGCCTGCTGCTGGCATTGTCACTGGTGTTGTGAGAGTTGGTGTAGGCAGTGCTGGCGCTGGTGCCTTCCACGGACCTGTGTGTACACAGTCCAGTAGTTGCTGGTGTATTTGTGAGGCATTATCTGCCTTCTGGTTGTCCTTGCTGTGACAATCTTGTTGTAAATCCCAATGAGGGACTTGCCAAGCCAGATCCCGTTGGAGAACCTTGGCTCTAGTTTCGGAAACTGTTTCACTGTTGGAAGCATGCGCTGCCCTGTCTCAGCAAACTCCCAAAGTGGTGCTCTCTGTTCCATCTGTTAAAGTAGCTTGTGCATCCGTTGCTGTGGACTGCATACCTATTCATGATGTATGCGCTGCGTCGATCTATCCAAGGCAAGAGTGAAAATTTCGTTGACATGTCTCTGTTGTAGTTTTGCCTGGTTTGTGCCTTGAGTGTTCTGACTTGCGCAAACAATGTTCTGCGCGCTCGCTCTGTTGTTCTTGCGGTTGTGAACTGTATGCTCCTGAGTTCCTTGTGGCGGTGTTGCCATTCCTGTTTGCCACTGCAGTGATGAGCGCTGTCAGGAAGTCTTCCTGATCTGATTGTAGTATGGTGTGTGATGTTCTTCCACACATAGT